GCGTTGTGTTTGGGATCTTCAAACAACGCATGCCAAACGAATGCCTCCACTCAGCGAAATGTCTTTCGAATGCTCGGCGCCCCCAATAACTGAAATTGCCGCAAATCTCGCATTTAAATTCTTGACCTAAGAAACAAAAGAAGTAGAGTAAATAAAAAAAATAAATGTATAAAATAAATTAAGATGAATAAACTAAATATAGTAAATAAGATAAACAAAATGAAATAAATAAAAAAATAAAAATAAAATATTTAAAGCAGATAAAAAAGCATAGAAATATTTAAAAACGTATTATTACAAAGGGGTTAATAAAACAAGAAAATCATCAAGAGGAGTAGACATTAATAAACATCAGTAAAATTAAATGAAAATAAATAAAAATAAAAAATTAAATTAAATTAAAATCAATCAAATAGAAGAAAAGGAGAAAGAAGAATTAATTCCAATAAATAAAAAGAGAGATGAAAAAGGAGACAAAAAAAAGATATAAGGAAACAAAGAGACAGAAAAGATTTAAAGAAAGATAAAAGAAGAAAGAAAAAATAAGAAAGAAGAGACAAAAGATAAAACAAAAGGAGACAGCAAGAAAGACAAAAGGAGACAGCAAGAAAGACAAAAGGGGACAGAAAAAGAAATAAAAAGAGAGACAAAAGGAGACATAAAAAAAGAGAAGGAAATAAAGGACGAAATAAACAAAGATAGACAAAGAGAAAAATAAAAGAAGAGACAAACAAAGATCAAAAAGGAGACAAACAAAGATCAAAAAGGAGACAAAAAAACAAAAGGAGACAAAAGGAGACACTCACCAAGGCCGTGCAGTTTGTACAGCCAATAGGGGATAGGGCGGCCGTCGAAACCTAAAAACAAAATAAAAATAAATAAAATAAAAATAAATTAATTAATTACAATGAATAAATAAATAAATTAAATAAATAAGAAGAATAAATAAAAATACATATAGGTAATAAATTACAAAATAAAAAAAATAAAGAAAAATAAATA